CCGGTGAACTCAAACACACAGGAACCAACACAAACAACATTTCAGCATATGCAAAACACGCCAAGGGAGACCTCAGTGGCACTGGGCAAAGGCAAACGAGTGGTGAGACAGGAGGTGGAGAGGGAGTCTCAGGGATTGGGGGTCCAGCCATGGGGTTCGCCAGCCTGAGTGCCGATCGTGCAGAGCGGGCCGAGCAGAACTGGAACCGCCGTGGCCCATCGCCTATCCAGAGGAACATCCTGGCCCGGAAATTAAAGGAGGCTCAGTCCTACTCTGGGGTCAGGGGGCGGCAGCGCAGCTCCACCTTTAGCGTATCATCTGCGGAGCAGAGGAAAGGTCGGTGCCGCTCTCTGCCGATGTCCGGAGACTACAGCAGCAGTGGCAGCTCACCCTACAGGCTGAGTGAGGCCGAGCAGAGGATGCTGGACCTAGATCTGTCCTCAACATATGTAGGAGAGGAGGAGTAGATCACACAGGCTTGCTGCACTACAGCAGTACCTCCTCAACCTACAGTAAATCTCCTCTGCTGCATCTGTGACTTTAACCTCATCATCATAACACAGACACACATATCAGTGATGAAGATTGTATTGTATTTTGAAGATTTAGGGAGCTTGAGAGCAAATGTTTTTTCTTAAAATATATTTTAAAAGAGTTTCTGTCTCAACGAAACGTTTTCTATTGCATTTTTATTGTATTTGTATTAATATTTCAATTTTTATCGGCATTATAATTGAATATGACTGGGTTTCTTTGTATATCAGCTACTGGTCCATTATCTACTATAATAAGTAATTTTTACCACACAGCCTTGTACTTACGTCACCGTTAAACACAAGCCCTAATGACAGTGTGCATTTCTGCACTAGTGAATGGGCTGTTTTTATAATGCTGTGAAGTCAATCTGTACAATGCTGAGAACCCCTCTCGCTATTTAGGGACAATTTGTATGTATGATGTAAGCAATGTCTGACATTTTTCATGTATTTTCTGCAAAATGCACAGGTTGGAGCAATAGTATACAGTTGTAATTATGTTTGAGAGCAGTCAAATATGAACATCAGTGAGGCATTGTGGCTGAGATGCTGTGTTTGTTTTTATTGAGTAATATCATACACTTTATAGTGGAAACAGAAGATACTGTATTATCACCATTTGATAATAGTTTCAAATAATGAAGCAAAGGGAGAAATTAAAATACAAAGAGTTTAAAGTCTTTGTCCTCATTAACAACGGAATTTGAAGCCTGGTGTTTTTAAATTTCCCCCGCTCCACTGCCCGTGACGTCCAAGAAAACCAGAGGCCGCACCTTCATGGTGGTGTGTCTAAGGGAGTACCAAAGGCCTTTCCAGGTCCCCCACACCACACCGTCATCATACTGGCCCTTGTACTTCCCTGTGCGGTAGAACTTCCCATTTAGGTTGGCTGCATGACACCTGTAGATAGAAGTAATAGTACACAATGTCAAGAGGGAAGCATTTTCCAAAAGACAATTTAAGGTGATTCACACTTTATCTTATGCATGTGCAACAATCCAACAGAAGGAAGCTGACAGAATTGCAACAACAACTGTAATACACACTTGGATTTATTGGAAAGGTCTCACCTGTTGAACCACCATCCTGCCTTATTCTCTTGAGCACAGCTGCCCTGAAGGTAGCGGTCATTGTCCTGTCAATCACCATGCCCATCATGAGTGTTATCAGTCATCGTCTGCACATTGTCAGTAATCTTACAGTTATTGGCACCATAAAAATGCTTCGAATGGTAAAAAGGGACATATTACCAACCTGATCTCTGGTGCTGAACTGCATGCCACTGAGGCAAGTAGACCAGTGCTCCACCATCCCCCCACCACCAGTCAGAGCATCTCCAGCTTTCCCACTATACAGCTCATACTGGAGACGATACTTATCCTGGAATAGGCATTAAAGCAAGTAATGTTAGTAAAGTAATCGTTACTTCTGAGATCAAGAAACAGAAATGTGAAGTTGTTTAACTTACGGCCTCATTAGTGATCCTGAAGTTCTCATAAAATGCATAATTTCTCTGTCCATCCCAGTCCATTAGATCTATCTTCACCAGATTGTTACCTTCAGGGTAAAGATGTATAGGCAAAAAATGAGAAAAAAGCAGCCAACCAGGAAGAACAGTTACTGTAAGAAAAGACTATTCAAAAATAAGACACTGCTTATAAAAGGAGATATGAAACAGGAATTCTGGGATTTGAATCATTTCTGACCTTCTGAGAGTAGAGAATAAATGTGCTCATTCCCTAACCAAAACTCATCATTCCACAGTTTGAAGTCACCAAAGCCATCTCTGTAGTCCACCCAGTCTCTAAAATTAGAGAATTAGGCAGATATTTGACCTTGTACCTCTATCAACCACTGCATTATAATGTGCAAGGATACTGGCACTCATTTTATAATTTATCATTGTAAGTGACATACTTTCTCCGCTTAAGTACCTGTTGAAGTCAACTTTTCCGTGCCGACGTTTCTGAAACACTGTCCATCCTCCTCCATCCTCCATGTCACAGTAGACCAGAAATGGTTCCTGGTGAGATTTGGGTCTGATGCGGTAGAAACCACTTGGTGGTCTCAATCTGTCAAACAGCTCAGAACAGTCTAGGAAGATGGTATTGAAAAGGCCTTATAGATTGCTGATTATCATCCTTATCATTGTAACTCATCATATGTTGCCTATATAAAGATCTATAATCTACATAAACAATGTGCAAATCTCAGTGAATATTATTTAATTTTTCAGAATTATTTCCCGCACTGCTTCATCCCAAACTAATTTTATTTAAAAAATAAACACCCAAACACTTTATGTGAGCTTTTTTTTACCTTTGTCATGGACAATTAAATTGCCTGCTGGTGGAAGTGGTTCCATCACTGTCACATCAGAGCTATCTAATGTCCCACTGCTGTTGTGGTTTACACCGGGGTCTGTGTCAGTTTCAGGTTTAATATTAGACACAACAGGTTGAAATGGCAGAAAGTATTTGTGTCTCTGCAAGTGCTCAACCTGCCAAGTCCCAATCAAGAGTTTGTTCTCCAGTTTTCTTATGCTGCGCTTCAGAGCTGCAACCTCTGGCCCGCATGAGTCCGTTGCCTAAATGAGGAAAAATAATTAAGTGTCACATGTCATTTCTACTTTACTGGTACCAAAAGAGGGGCCAGCAAAAGCATAGGGATGCATCTCCAGGCAGCTATGAAACAGATTGTATTTATAGGAACTCTGGACTTTCTAGGAATGACAGTTCTTTTTTAACCATATATTTTCAATTTCCAAAAACAAAGACAGATATCCTGAAGCCTTTAAAGACTAGGAAAAGCTACATACTGACAACTGTGTAGAAGAGGCCATGGTTGGGCACACCAGAGCCAACAACAGCAACACTGGCATGAGTTTTAGGAAGAAGTCCCACGCTGCAATATCAGTCTAAAAATTATAAAAACAATATATTTTAAAGATCGAAGAGTTCACTTTTAAAAATCTCTGCACCGCAAGCCTACCTTCATTTCACAACGCCTCCCCTTGTTTTGTCCAACCTCAGTGTTCTTTTCCTCTAAAGATTTGTCAGTATTATTTATAGGCAGGGCCGGTTCTGCATGGTCCACATTAGACGATCCAGACTCGACCAACCATGCCAAACACTGAACTCAAGACAGTTTGTCCTTTTCCTTTCTCGATCGAGCATTTTAGTATTTGGAAAGAGTAGCTGATCCCAGACCTGCAACTGACCTCATGGATAGAGAGGACTCCATTCCTTCTTATCCCCCTCCCCCATTTTTGGCGAATTTAATCATTCTAAAACTTTGTTTATTCTTTTCCTTGAAGTCTTGATTTATGTTTTATTATTGTACTTCCAAAGGACATTGAGTCTTCATTGAAATCAACTTTACCCTCATACAGAGAGTTCAGTTGAACATGTGGGTAAACCACTCTTTAAAATTCAGACATAAACTAAGAAAATATAGTGGGAAAAAATTCCAAGTGATGCAGAAAATACAATAAAGAACGACAGCTTAAAGAAAGTGGATGTTCTTGTAGTTAACAGTATATACTGTACACTAGTCCAAATGCCAAGAGAGTGCAAATGCAAAACAACCCTGCAAGGCAAACCCTAAAACATCTCAAAAACAAGCATCTAAAACAACAGCAACCAAGTAGGAGTACAAGGGAGCAGGTAGATTAATACTTAATAATTAATACTGCCCAATATGACTTGAAATTGGTCATTTTATCCAACCAACAGTCAAAAGAGACAAGCAAATCCCCACATTGATAGAGACATTGTGTGTGCTGTAGCTCCCTCTGGTGTTAACTTTTGGTGAGTGCTTAAAATATGTTTCAAGTAGTAGTTAATATTTTTATTGCCATATACATTTAAGATATATTTATTAAATATTATGATGTTACATATTATGTTTAGAATCAGTTTTGGCTGTATTATATTGATGTCTTTGATTCTCTACCATAACGTTGTTTTTAAAAACAGTGAGAAGAGCTATGTAAATAAAGTTTATTACTGGTGTTATAGTCTGGTATTTTTATGCCTCAGTCTGCAGTGCTCTCAGCTTTATTGTATCCTTTCCCTAGGTTCAACACAATGCTGTCACTTTATGTCATGATAACGTTATTCCTCACAGTTATTGCAGACCTTTTCAAACCGGGACTTTGCGTTTGGGAATGCGCGTTCAATTAAAACCAGATGTTACAGAGAGGAGGGAGATGTGAGAGGACGGTCGCAGCCTGTTGGCTCAACTCAACCACCTTTTAAGCAAATACTAAGTAAGCCTAGTTTTAAAAAAAATAAAAGCCTCTGTAATCTTGAGAGGAAGGTTATAGTCAGGCTGTGGTGTGAAAGTGGTTTGAGAAGGAAAGATGAGTCAAGAGTAACGAGGAGAAAAGGGCTGGCCATTTTTTTTTTTTTTTTTTTAAACACAGAGGTCCAGGAAGTCTGAAACCGCTACGTTTGCAAAAAAAAAAAAAAAAAAAAAAAAAAGAAACCAATGAGGGATAGTGGATGGACAGAAAAAAATGTTACCCGGTTAACCTTTGAACCGTCTTCCTTTGTGTTAACAAGAAGTCACAAGACAAACTCCCGTTTAATTTCACGAATGACAGTCCTAACGGTAAGCAGGCGGTGTGACTTTTGCTGGTGCTTTTTTTTTTTGAGGAGCTAATTTGGTGTCAGCGGGTAAACAAACAGTCCGAGGAGAGAGGGGAGGGAAGCGGGGCTGTTGGTGGTCTTGCTGGTTGTTTTCATTTATTCTGTAGAGGTAATAATAAATCCTGGTTGCCTCACTTTCTGTACAAGGTCGCTAATGTCTTGCTCCTAACTCCTACGTTTTTCTTTTGCATCAACGTCTGGTTGCTATGGAGTTAGTTGTAGGAAGCACTAATGAACTCCTGGATGCTGATTGCATGTTTACTGATAAAAGTGTTTCTTTCTTCCAAAGAATGGATTTATGTGAAAGACTGTAACTGTCAAGAGATAATGTGTTTCAGGACAGGACATCTTTTTGTCCTCTAGCTTGTCTTTCCTCTTCTTTTTTTTGCATTTTTTTTACACTATCTTTTTGGAGCAACATGCTGAACAAGGGAGTTTTAAAAAGAAATCTTGTTACACTCTTTGTTCTTCCAATGCAGAGACTACAAGTTCAGAACAAAGCGAGGAGGAAGACACACACGCCATGTCCTCTGTCTACTTCAACCCAGGGTCAGATTCAGGTGTAAATGGGTGAGGAAGATTGAACCTTTATTCTGTCTGTGCATGCTTTTTTTTCTTTTAGCCTAGTTTTAGTGAAGATTTAAACTTTAATATCTATTAGAAACATTGCAAAGATGGAAGATGCCAAAGTGGAGATTGACGATGGAAAGGAGGAGAGTGTCGTACCAGACACGATGTATCAGTAAGTTAATACACCCTGCACTCCAGACAGTTTTATATATATATAAAACACTTCATGTACTTGCAAGCATTACATTCTTTCATCCTTTGCAGCAATATCCGGAAGAAGATAACACCTTTTGTTACGTCCTTTGGATTTCGGTGAGTGTGATTTGGGTGCTCTTTTGGAGAGATCATCTGGAGTGATGATTGCCAATAATGGTTATTCCCTTTGCCTGGTAGTGATAAATGATGCCGTCTGTCTTTTCATCCAGTATTTTCGGAGTGATCCTGATCCTAGTGGACTTTGTGCTGGTGATTGTGGACCTCTCCCTGTCGGAGAAGAGCAGAGAGGTCGGAAACGCTTTAGAGGCTGTGTCCCTCACCATCTCCTTCTTCTTCCTCCTTGATGTTCTCTTGCGGGTCTATGTGGAGGGGTGAGTGAGAAAGGAAGGCTTTGCAGGCAGCAGTGTTGCCACAGACTTCTTTTTCATTGTCTTCATGATAGTCAGCACCCCTGTCCTGATTAGGAAGTCATACATGGTAGCCTTATATTTGAATTCCTCTCCCAGTCTTTGTACTCTTTGTGCTTATTGTTATATATGCAATCTACACTTGTGCAAACAAATGTTTCCCCATATATTTCTTACAGCCTTCCGATAAATCTTATCTTTGCAGAGCTTGTTATGTTATTTGCTAACACTGTGTTAGAAGGGCATTATTTCAGGCACTCATATGTGGTATTCCTAATAATTCTTGCCCTGTATTGTAAACGGCTCCCAATATTTGAAGGTAGTTTACCCACATCTCCAGTTACCACTGCAACAACTGCTTGCTTGTGAGTGTGAAAAGTTTAAAAGAGTGATGCAAACAATCCCAGAGTGCTGTGTCAGCAGAAATCCAGTGTGATTGGCTGTTAAACAGGAAATTATGAAGAGGAAGCTGGACAGGAAATGTATGGCATGTACTGGATTGGTTCTTGGGAAACATAACGTTTCAGAGCACTAGTGCAGTGTCACTGAATAAATACTCTCTAATAAGCACATTCTGTTAGTTGCATGATCTGAGCAGTTTTCCCCGCACCGTGTGAATCGTCTCATGTTGGGTTTTAACTAACCACCTTCTAGGTTCAAAGTGTACTTCAGCTCCAAACTGAACATCATAGACGCCTGTGTTGTGGTAATCACGCTGGTGGTCACCATGATCTACACCTTCAGTGACCTGTCAGGAGCCAGCCTCATCCCCAGGTACCCGCTTTCCCCAGCATTCCCAGCTAACGGACATGTAATGTTAACACAAACATGGCTCATACAGTTGTGTTAGACACACCACACAGCTGTTTTTACTTCTGTTGCCTGATTAGACTTCCTCTCAGGATTGTGTACAAAGTGTGATTAATTAACACTCTCTGCTGTTAGTGTTGTTGCACCTGTTAGGGTGGGAAAATTTACACCTGTGTCATTCTTATTAGTCCATAGAGTTAGACACCATGTAATTCCCGGATTAGATCCACCTGAGGTCTAATCAGCCAGCGTAATTGAAAACACCTCTTTAGGTGTGCATGGCTTTCATAGGTCCTTTTTTTATTATTTAATTTAAAAAAAAGGTGTGGCTCTGCTTGGATGGAGAATCCGGCTGTACAGTAGCACTCCAAAAATTTGGGGACCCTTTTAAATGCTGCAAAACACTGTAAAAAAAAAAAAAAAAAAAAAGAATATGCCTTTTCCTTTGGGAGCTCTGTTTACTGTAAATGTTTTGCAAATGGCACAGCAATAATGACGCTGTTGCTTCAGTTTTAATATCAAGAACACAATTTTAAGGAGTATTTAATTAAATATTTCAGTTTTAACCTCAGGCTGAACAATCAACAATTAACTCGGTGAACATTTTTCATTCTAGAGTCATATTGAGAATATACTGATATCTTAAAATACTATAGTAATAATCCCTAATCCCAACGTCACCCTACAGTACGTAGAGTGCCATTGACCTTTTTAATGTTTTATCATATTTGAGAAATACCTTTTATTATAGGTAAATTAAAGTCAATGCCATCAAGATGTTAATGTTTGTTCATTGATTTATAAGTATACATTTTTCCATTTGTTCTTCATCAGGGTGGTGACGTTCTTTCGTTTCCTGAGAATAATAATCCTGGTGAGGGTTTTCAGATTGGCATCTCAAAGGAAAGAGCTGGAGAAGGTCACCAGGAGGATGGTATGGTCATCACCTAATGTAGTAAAGTTCACCGGAGGAGTGCAACTGTGTAGAATTAAGGTTGTCTACAACCTCCTGATCATTTATTTCTTACTTTTCTCAGGTTTCTGAGAACAAGCGGCGTTATCAAAAAGATGGATTTGACCTCGACCTTACCTATGTCACAGGTAGTTGTTGCACGCTGTATAACGCAAGAAAGGCCATACATGCATGTCAGAAAATATATATTGAATGAATGACTAGAAATTCAGCCCTTTAAGAAGTTGCACATTTGTTTGCAATCTTTATCCACTTTTCTAGACCGTGTCATCGCCATGTCTTTCCCCTCCTCTGGGAAGCAGTCATTCTACAGGAATCCCATCAAGGTAAGTCTGACACAAACCTTAAAGTGCACTTCTATCACTCGCTTTACATGGATTAAATCTAATTACACTCACCAATTTAAAAATAAATCCATTGATAGGTTGTTACGAGGAACTAAAAACAAAATACAGTAGACGCACACGCCTCTAAGTATACACACACTGTCTGTCTGTGTGCAGGAAGTGGCGAGGTTCCTGGACACTAAACACGAAGGCCACTATAAAGTTTACAACTTGTGCAGTAAGTTGGCACCACCTCTCATCACATGTGCTGCATTCCTTTTTAATGTAGAACTACATAAACCACGTCAAATATCATCTTTTGCTTCCAGGTGAGAAAGGCTACGACCCGCAGTTCTTCCACTACAGGGTTGAACGGGTGTTCATTGATGACCACAACGTCCCCTCCCTGGAGTGAGTAGCACTTTCTGTAGTCATGTGTCATTTTTGTTTCACCTCTACGTTTTGCTTGTTATTACACTGATGCACTTTGGATTACAGCCACACAAAGGCCTTTTCTTGTTAAACAAATACATCACTGACATAACCATAATGACTGTAAATTCCTCTGTGTAGTGTTAGTGAAGTTTATCTTATCTTATTTTAAGATAAACTTCACCACATTTGCACCATTTTTCAAGGCATGTGGACTGACGGCAAATATTTCTCTAAGCAAATACAAAAAAACGAGATGTATCACTTACCGCCGTTACAGGGTGTATAATATTTTGCCAGCTTGTCTCAGCTCATCTTTATCATTGTGTGTGTGTATCTGTCTCAGGGACATGCTGAAATACACAGCGAGCGTGAGGGAGTGGATGTCTGCTGATTCCAAAAACATCATTGCAATTCACTGTAAAGGAGGGAAAGGTGATGCCAAAGATCTCAACTTGTTCAACTCAAATTATTCACTAAATGAGAATGAAACAAGGACGTTAGTTTGGTGTGCAGTTGTTGAAAATGTCAACTAAAACTCTCATAAACTCAAATACTTTATTCAATATTCCATTCTGTGTTTTACAGGCCGCACAGGTACTATGGTGTGCACCTGGTTTATTGACAGTGATCAGTTTGAGAGTGCACAGGTACGTCCCTTTAAGTCTGAGATTAATTCAAGCAGTGGTTAATGAATTGGTGAAACATTTTGAAACAAGACTACTTGCTTACGTTCATTTGTTTGACCACCAGGACAGTTTGGAGTATTTCGGTGAGAGGAGGACTGACAAGAGTCGAAGCTCCAAGTTCCAGGGAGTGGAGACTCCTTCTCAGGTAAGAACAAGCCACTCAGGGGCCAAACTTACAAAGACACGTTTTTAATAGAGGCATTTATTTAGAAATGTGGATTAGACTTAAAGCCTCTTTGTGTAGAATTTGGAAAAAGTCTGACTGGTGCCTCCCAGTGGTTAAAAAATTAAGCTGTGGCAGTGGAGCATGGAATATTTTTATATTACTGCATATCTTTTTCTTTTTTAACATCGAGAATAAGAAAGTTACCATATATACAATATATATTTATTTATACACAATATATATTTATTTATATACATGTACATACAGTATGTTTCATATACCCATTCTACACATACTGCTTATACGCTGTTCTGTCTGTGTGAACCACAGAGCCGGTACGTGGGGTACTACGAGATCATGAAGACCAAGTTCGACAGACAGCTGCCTCCTCCTAAAAGCCTCGGGATCAAGAGCATCCGCATCCACTCCATAGCAGGTAAAACCCAGCAAACCAGCAGGTCGATCTAATACAGAACTTCATCTCTTACAAATCCCTTTGTGCCTATTATCTGCTCTTTTCTTATTGCTCTTACCCAGGTGTGGGTAAAGGTGATGGCAGCGATCTCAAGGTGAAGATAATTGTGAAGAAAGAGCTGGTATTTCAATGCGTTTGTGCCAAACAGGAGAACTGCACAGTAAGTGTCACACCCTCGGCACACGCTCCCCATCGGTGCGGATTCATTTAATGAGCGGCTGACTAACACATCTCTGGTGTTTTTGAGGTATTCCCCGATGTGGGCAGCAACGCAGCTGTCATCAGTCTACAGAATGGGCCTGTGGTTGAGGGGGATGTGAAGGTCATGTTTGAATCGAGCGCTGTGAGTGCTTGCATTTTACACCTTTTTAGCTACATATGCAAGGAAAGCTGGTGTCTAACCTGTCCTATGATTCATGCTCTGTTGTTTTCATCTTTTCCCCTTAGGGTCTTCCAAAAGGATACGAAGATGTTCCCTTCTACTTCTGGTTCAATACCTCCTTTATAGAGGATAACAAGTATGTTTCTGCTGCTTGCTTTGATGCAATTGTTTTCTCTATCTCTGCTTTGACATCAGTCCTGACCTCCAAACCCTCCACAGGCTGTTTCTACCCAGGGAAGAGCTGGACAACCCACACAAACCGAAGACCTGGGACCTGTACAAGGAGGACTTTGGTGTCACTATGTTCTTCTCAGAACCATAATAAACAGGATACAACGGGTTGTTACAGTTGTACTTTTAATGATGGATGGTAGATTGAACACTAACTCAAGAAAAATGAGGCATAAAATGTTGTATGCAGTGGGCTCCTCCACTCAGTCAAATCATGTAGACTGCAGTGTTGCTCTGACGAGTCTTGGCACTTAAACTGAAATTTATGAGGGATATGTGAAGAAATACCATGAACTAACTTGTCTTCCAGGGAATCAGTTGATATATGTATGTATGCACCGTGACTCTTTTGAGTGTCCTAAAATAAAGTGTAGAAATCTGGAAAAGCGTCAGAAAAACTTTGCACCAGATGAAATTATAATGCTATTTTTCTAATGTACTGTGTCTAGCTACTACAAGTGGTTTGCTAGTGAAGGTAATCGGACAGGAATGTACTCTGAGGCAACAGCAGAAACCACAGAGCAGTTTACCAGAACACAGGATGACGCATGAGAAACAAAAACATCCAAATGTGCTCGTAGAACAGGTGTCACAGAGCTCCACCTTGAGGTTAAGTTAGTTTTACTGGCTTTGTTCATAATTTAAAAAAAAAAAAAAAAAAAGTAGTGGCTTCTTTGTCTGTAAATATGCTACATATGTTTATTAGGCATACATTTCTGTGAGGGATCACTTTGACTTAAGGATTTATTGCTATTTGCCAGTTGAGATTAGAAAGCAGGTAACTATTAATTCATAATCCAACATGAAAAGCACTTAAAAGTACATTTTTAAAGGATCAAGGAAATGTATGATACAACACAAAGTTGTTTGCAGTCCCTTGTTGCTACACAGTTAATTCAATTTATTGTAGAATAAAATACTTTAGAGAAAGACCAATATTCAGTCAATATTTTTCACTCGCAGCAAACAGAACAAGTGGACATAAATATCAGATTTTTATTTTTTTATCCATAATTTATACAATCTTTAAATTATTTTTTCATTTTACAAGTTGCATTAATTGTCATGCCAATGTTACGCCGCAGGTTGCATAGACCAACATCTGAAAACCTTCTTATGTCACACTTTGGGTCTATCAAACATGTTCTCTATTAAACCTAAAACGTTAGCTAGCAAGGAAAGAATTAAAGTGCAGACACAAGTGAACTCTCAGTTAGAAATACTGTTCATGATTGAAGATCCATTTGCTGAGGCAGATGATGCAGTGCATCAAAGCAGATACTTTACAAACTGACCTAAATCCCCACAATGGAGCTGACGAGGCGCTGTTGAAATTATTGAGTTAAGATCCTGTGTGCCGTGTAGCAACTCAACAAAGCTCCAACCTGAGAAGTGATGGGTGAGGTCCATTAATCCACCAGATTCAATAAAGTAAATGGCCTGTTGAATCGTTTTAGAATTTGTAAATCCCAGCAAATGTTATATTCTCACTGCATTGTGGGACAGGTCAAAAGGACAGACAATAAGACAACAGCAATTTGATATTGGGTGCAAGCTATTCTGCAGTAAAACAGAATGGAAGCAGCTTTAAAACACTGCTGTTAAGGATGGATACGTTTAACATTATTCTCCCGGATAAAAGGCACCCAGTACGACAAACTGCAAAAACATCTTTCAGGACAATGTCGAGCAGTCTTTACACAACTATCATTGCAAAACAGCAGTTGACAAACCCAAGGTGTGTTGCAAATCACAATCAGATGTCTTTGTAAAACATGACATGATAACACAAGGCATAACTGAGAACTCTTCAGTCTTAATGCAGGTTTACACAATCTACATAGACTGTCCAAGTAGCGAGCAATAGCTCAAGTGACTTCCTGTTAACGAACAAATACGATACATGCTGTGCAAACAGCAACAGGAAAAATAAACTTTTCGGCTCAATTTCAGATTTGGTCATATTGCTTTTCTCCCACCCCACACCCCCACACCCAGAAACTCAGTCCACACTTCAGGTCAACAAAGGGTTTTTCTGGCCGCCCGGGCCAAGTTACCTCCAAAACCATTGAGGAGGTCGCACTGCTCCAGCTCGTCATACCGCCCGCTTCGCAGAAAGCAGAGCACTGTGGTTTTGCACGTCTCCTTGCAGGGCTCCGACACGTGTCCCTTATGTCTGAAGTACCAGAACTTCTGGAAGACCCGGTCATCATTGACAAAGGTCCGCATCAGCCCGTCACAGTCAGAAGGGAACAGACTGGTAAGACCATAGGCCTTGGTGGCACGGTATAACAGTGTCCATTTGGGGTTCTGTTCTGGCTTACTTGACACTCCTGGACTGTGGTTGACCTCTGTGAGATTGAGCACGTAGGTTTCGTGGTCGAGCACCAGCCGAGAGCTGCCTTGGTAATTCCCATCCACATAGTAGACACGGTAACCTGGAAAGAGAAAAATAGTGAATTTTTATTGAAGATGTGTGTTGCTTCTGAATTGCTGGGAGACCAAGTTTATGAACTCACCTGGGTTAAGATTAACATAAGTAGTAACACTGGGCGCAATGAAAGCCACTCCCAGTGGACGGGCCATGGTTGCCTCATCATAAAACATTTGGAACTCATCCAGATGTGTATGGCCAAAAAACTGTCCAGTAATTGTACTTTCATATCTGGGAAAAACAAAACAGAGGACGTTTTAAAAAAAAAAAAAAAAACAGAACATTTTATAACTGGTCATATTGCTCCCCCAGTTGGTAGATTGCAAAAACTCAGGCTGACACATAAAGCAACAACAGTCTGCATATTCATTAACTAGAGCAGACACAACATCAATCTGACCCTGCAAAAAAAATAAAAAATAAAAAAGGAAAACACAAGTGTTGCCAATAATAAGTCAGCCACACACTAGATTCATATTATGAATCTTGTTTAATAATTAGGGATCCTACATATTTAAAGAGCAGAGAAACAGCATAAACAGCCATTAGAAACATCTGGTGGGCTGACTTTGCCCTGCAGGCCCCACTTTGGGCAGGCCTGGTTTAAATGATGAGTGTAGCTACCTGTTGACAATGTGATAGTAGTTCCAGCTCCAGCTGCCAAGACATAGGCCAGGTGGAATGTGACCAATGATATGTACCTAAATAAAGGAGGAAATGACACCAATCAAAATATATTTTTTTTATTGCTGCCTTATGCTCAGTACCAGTTGCTAGAGAGAAGTAACATAAGAAAGCCATAGTCATTATCCAGATTTAGCAAAAAGCAAAGGGCTAAGGTGGGACGTTAACTGGACCCAACGTCTTCGGTCATCTTTTATTTTAACTGCTGTACTCACCTTTTCTCCCTTGTCCTCGCTGGCCTGAAGAATATGGACCAGCCACTGTAGCTGGTTAGCAGGATCGGTAGAGTTCACCATCAGCCAGAAGTTTTCTCGAGCACAGAAGTTCATGTTGAGGGATACCAACCTTAGGCCAGGCTGAATTTCCATTGTGTAGAATCCTCCATATCTGAAATTACACCCAAAGACATAGTTGAAGATTTAAGAAAGTGAAATTCAGCTCTGAGGTACCCATCAAAATGTCCAAACTCTACATGGGGAACAGTCTTATGGCAAATGTGACCACTTCTGTTCACAAACAGAGGGATGTGAAATACAAGGTGAAACTGCAAGCACAAACACAGTTCCTACTTTAAGATCTAAAACAAACTCTTTGCTTAACTTTTATTTAACAATAGCACTGGTATCTTATCTACAGTTTGGCCTGACCTGCAAAACAATGTCAACACAAAATACACATTCAGATATAATAAAAAACATCAATATCAAGAACCTCAAAGTCTTCAAAGCTTGCTCTGGTAACCATGGTGCCCATTCCTCTGCCATTGTATCGTACAGCCAGGCGCAGGATCGGTTGCCATGAACAAAGGGTGGTGGGAAGCTGTTCACTGGCGTACTCTCGTGGTTCCCCACAGCAGGGTAAACTGTCACATTAGGTCCCAGGTGTCTGGACAGAAGACAGGAGGAAGAGGTGAGAGTCAATAGCTGTTTGGACCATATCCAGGTAACACATGACAAACATCTGACTCCTACCATGTTGATAACACTCAGGGTGTTTTTCCTACTGCTTTGGTCAGAGTACAAGGTCAATTTGAGCTTAAATTAGAGCAACTGCATTATTCAGATCCAATAGCAGCTGTCAAGCTATTCTACTGCAACTACTCTGACAGCTAAGTGGTTGCTGGTAAAATAATAGCTAGACTATGCATCCACACTTTTATGTGTCAAAGGAGCAATTATGGTTTTATCTTTATGTCAAAACAAACTCAAAGTTAAAAAGAAAAATTACTTGTGAATGAGCCTGGAGATTACTGTAAGCTCTGACAGCTGTTGTTTCCTGGTCTGAGACCAAACATTGTGTGCTGGTATGTCTCCGGTCCAGTAGACCCAGTCCCATGGTCCAGCTTTGGCTGCATTTTCCAGGAGGTTCTCCACTGTCCGGAGAGGCAGGTCACACTTACTGTAGGTTCCCCAGTACCCAGCCTCCCGCCGCCTCCAACTGGGAGAGTTCGAGTCTTTGCGACAACACAAGGGGTCCTTGCAGTCGGCGGCACTGCCGGCTACATACTCCTGTTGGGGGAGAAAATCATTTTTAAAAGCAGTTAAAAAAGCAGTTTAAAAGCAGCATCGTACTTTTTTCTGCTTAGTCATTCCAAATTTCCTGTGGAAACTAGAACATCTTTTAAATAAATCATTAACTTCAACCTTGTGTGGAGGGCATGACCTCAACACGAGATTGCAATCCTTGAACTGGAACACTGTCCACTGTCAATATGAAATTTTGATAGACAAAACTTTGAGGCACTACAAAAACTGAAAAAGAGAGGGATATAGTTAGATTTTCTCACATCAAACTGGGTACCAGAACTTGCTGCAGGGTGATTATTTTGGTTCAGTTCTGCAACGGCACACACATACCTGGTCCCAGTGGATATCTGTTAGAAACAGGACCCTGCTCTGCGGAGAACCGGGTTTGGGAGGAGAGGGTGGTGTAACAGGGGGCTTAGGGATCTTTGGCAAGGTGATGTTCCAGGGAGCGTAGATGTCAAATTTGCCGCAAGAAGCGCCCACCAGCAGGGCACACGCTTCAGTGGGCCACAGCAAGGACTCCTGCAGAGCTCGGATGAAGTCATCCCTGAACAACTCCGTTATATCTCGACACACCTGCTCATCAGCCAGATGGAGACGGATACACGCCTCACGTACTGCACGTGCCACTCGCTCCTCATTTGCATCACTCTAGGAGAGACAACAAAGACATAACAGGATTAGAATAAATACAATTCAATGTAAAGATTGACCTTCAGAGGCTTTAGGCATGATGCTTCAA